TTATTAAAATACAGATGAAAGACCTGCCCTCTTCAGATATTTTAGCTACATATTAATTATTAATGTTAAACACTTGGGTACAGCAAGACAGCTACTTTGAGTATATAAACTCTATTTGGAAGTTAAGTTCTATCTCTACATAACAACTGAATTCATGATTTGGAGCATGATTTTTTTAAAACCATGGCAATAACATTTTTATATAATTATTCCAGTTAGGTTTTAAAAAAGTTTTTGGTTGGTTGATTGTTAATTTTCTATCTGGGGTCCATTAAAGTGTGGCTAAACTTCAGGGTCCACACAACATATTCCTATCACACTTCTTCCTAAATATGTGCCCCTTAGAAATTAATTTCATCTCTCTGAGCATCAATCTCCTCACCTATAAAATGATAATACTCATACTATCTATATCACAAAGCTGTTGTACGGAAAATACTTCATAAGCTTTAAAGCATTATATAAATGGCAGTTATTATTATCATTATCGGTATTATCATTCATAGTTGGCAGAAACATTTACATACTGAATTTAATTTATTAAATGATACTTCATTAGCCAAAGAGTTTATTCATTTTTTCCCTTTATGATGAACTGCATAGAAAATCTAGATTTTGTGATAGAGTCTTGTAATATTTACAGTATAAAATCACATTTCCAATTCACTAGGCTTAGAGATTAAACAGAGCTGATGTCCAGCCTCTTTGCACAAAATAGTAAATTTAACTAAATTCAAAAAAGTTATTAAATGCCAACTGTGTACAGAGCATTGAGCTATGGCTATAAGAGAAATAAAAAGCTTAGATAAGATATTGACTCCTGCCCTCCTAGTATTTGAGATATAGTAGGATCAAATAAGATAATATGTCCAAAGTCCCTTGCAAACCTTAGAAGTATTACATAAATATTATCATTATTATAGCTAATACACATACAGAGATAGTTATATGATACCATAATATGTAGAGATATGAGTTTCTGTCAAAATAATAGTTACAGACACTAACTGACATAATTAAGTCAAAAGAAGGAACCAATTTAGGGGAAAAAAAAGATGAAAAGCTTAGTCTGGTTAAGCTCAAGGTATCAGTGGGGCATCTAGGTAGAAATTCCTATAGATTATTGAAGACACAATTTTGCATCTCAGAAGACAAATCTGGGCTAGAAATAATAATAATAATAATAACTAGAAGTATGCCTTAGGGTCTGCAAAGTACTTTTACATGTTATCTCATTTGATCCCAACAGCAATTCTATAGTGTATATGTTATTATTTTTCCTATTTTACAAATTAGGAAACTAAAGGACAGAAAATTAAAATGACTTGCCTAGGAACACAAAGCTAGTAAGTGTCTGAACAGGATTCAAACTCAGGTCTTCCTGAATCCATTATCCAGCACTCTGTACTTTGGTTGCCCAAAGAAATAGATTTGGAAATCATCTGCATCCTAATGGAGTCACTCTAAGAACAAGAATCTGTCATAAAAGACAGAGAAAAAACAATCAGAGAAATAGAAAGAAAACCAGGAAAGTCTGGTGTCTCTGAAGCTTAAGTGGAAGACACTACCCAGTGGGAGGGTGTGGTCAAGTGTGTTTATTTAATTTGCTAAGGGCTACACCAGGAAAAACTTTCTAACAATAAAATTGTCCAAAAGTGGATTGAGTTGCCTCCGGGAGTAATAGTTTTCCCTCATTAGATGACTGATTACTGGTTGCCAGTGCTATGGAGTGGATAGATTACCCCATAGGTATCAACCAAACTAGGTGGCTTCTAAGGTCCCTTCGAACTCCTTCTCTGTCCAGCTACATAACAAAAAGCACATAACTGGACACTTTCATCACATGAACAGGAACTTCAGGAATCAGTTGTTTATAAGGTTATTTTTGGACAGAATGCAAAGAATCTGCTTATTTCTATGGGCCATCTGCAAAATACAGATGTAGCTTTGTTATACAGAAATGTTCTTTGTAATAGTATTCATTGCAATGAAATGAATTATTGTCCATGAACAAAGATACGCTCAAGAAAAAAACATTGCCAAATTTTATTTGTATTTGCAAGAAAACTGGAAGCAAATTAATGTCCAACAAAAGGGGGATGGCTAAATAAATTATGTATATTATTTTTAGGGGATGCTATAATGCAATTAAGATCAATAAGCAGGAGAAACTAAAGACATATGGAAAGACTCTTTACTACCGTAGACAAGGTTGAAAGGGATCTTAGAGACTATCTAGTCCAAATCTCTCATTTTAGGAAACTGAGGCCCAGAGAGGTTATACACTAAGGGGCAGAGCAAATATTCAAAACCAGATCACTTGATGCAAAACACAGTGCTCTTTCCATTAGACCACAAAAAGAACAAAAACATAGTATACCCTAACCATGCTCATATAAAAGGAAAAGTGAATGGGAATGAATAGACAAAGAATCCTGATGGAGATTTAGGAGGACCTGAAAAGTTGTTATGACATTTTAAGCATTAAAATTCATTATTTAGATGTAGATAATTACAAAGCAAGTCTAATTAACTATGTTGACATTTAATATTAAGTTCATAACAAATTGTCAGAAATAAATATAACATTCTAGCCAAGGGGCAGCTAGGTGGCACAGTGGATAGAGCACCTGCCCTGAAGTAAGGAGGACCTGAGTTCAAATCCGGCCTCTGACCAAACACTTGTCACTTACTAGCTGTGTGACCCTGGGCAAGGCACTTAATCTCAAATGCCTTAAAAAAAAGAATCTGGCCAAAAAAATGTCCTAATTGATTTAATGTGACTTACAGCCATTGTCATACTCTTACCAATATAATCAGACCTCTCCCCAGTTACAGTTTTACAAGTGTTCAAGTTAAAGTGATTCACAAATATACATACTCTATATTGTATGAGCAGTATATCACTTTGCAAATATGTATATGGCATCTCAGGCATCAGTCAACCCATGACAAGCTTGCCAAAGACAACACAGATTATTTTCATAGACTCCATGATAACTGCCACCAAGAAAGCTACTGGCCAAACTGCAGACGGGCCTGTTTGCATTTGCACTCTCCCACCTCACTTTTAATGTGGTGTTCTCTCTCTAGTTCCCTCATGCTTCCCCAGTGCTATTCAAAGTCCCTCACTCTGGCACCCCAACCTATCAAGCTACGTTTGCCTCTCCCCCAAGGACTCTTTTCTTCCTCTCTCAACCCATCCAAATTTCCTTTCCCACATCCTAACTAGGTATTAGGAATTCTGGTTGTTTTGTTCACATAATTCAAAGTGAGATGCAAGCAACTGTTACCTTTAACCATCCCAGGTATCAAAAAAGGGGGACTTTTTAACCCAAATGAATTGCTAACTAGTGTAATGTATATGGGAGATAATTTCATTAGTAATAGCAATAATATAAGTCTATTGTCCCCAACCTCCTCCATATGATCAGGCAGATATCATGGCACAGGATACCAAAAGAGGCAAGGGGAATTAGGGTTCCTCTCCTTATGATTTAGATGGCACAGTAGATTGAGTGCTACAGGGGCCTAGAATAAGGGACACCTAAATTAAGATCCAACAGATACTTTCTAGCTGTGTGACTCTGGGCAACTCACTTAATCTCTGTCTGCCTCAGTTTCTACCACTGTAAAATGGGAATCATAATACCAACTACTTCCCAGTGTTGTTGTAAGCATCAAAAGAGATTATGTGAGTGAAATGCTGAGCACAGTACCTGGCACAGTAGGTGCTTAGAAAATGCTTTGTTTCCTTCCTTTAGAAAGGTGGCCTTTTGCTGGCCCACAATCCTACCTCTTATAATTCCTTAATTTATGAGTAAATGTTTAAATATAGTTATTAGTTTTGTAGGATCATAGATATAGCTGGAGGGGGTCTTAGATGCTATTTGGTGTGACCAACTTATTTTACAGAAGAATAACCTGAGGCCTGGAAAGATTGTCACCTGTCCAAGGTCACACAGTGGCAAAGCTGAATTTAAACCCAAGTTTTTTGTATACAAACTATATCGTTAATGAAAGTACAGAGAAGGCAGTTGGTCTGGTCCCAAATAAAATTTTGAATTAAAAGGGACCCCTCCTCCCTCTTTTTCCAATGTCAAAGTCAGTTCTCCCTTGGTTCCTGATGTAGACCTAAGGAAGGAAAGTCTTGTGAGTCATTCAGCACTTAGCTCACTACCAACCAGTTTTCTTTTGATGCCAAATGGGCTATGCCAGGAGCACCAGTAATCAGAAAATAAGGCTGCAGAGTCACCAGACTGAACAAAGGGACACAAACGACACACTATTCATGGTTTTATCTTGTAGGAGAAGATTCCCAGTACAGCACAGGAACAAATGCAGAGAGGCAGGATTGCCGCAGTTGTTGAGTTTCTTTGTTGCAAAGGTCACACCTCACTCTTTTTTGGGATCCCCTTGCTTTTCTTATTCTCCATCCATGTTATCATAAGGTTGAACTAGACATCTACACAAGCAATGTTCATTGCTTCCCCACTATTTAAACATACTAGAAATATGCAACCTTCAAATGAGCAAAAACACCACTGCCAGAATGTTTCCCAGAATGAAGGCCACCCTTGCTCACTTACTTCTGTAGCTCTCCTGCATTGCCTCTCTTGAGGTGCTAATACCTCTCATAGCTCTTGTTACCCCTTCTCCCATCTTCTGGCTTTCCCTGATTTGTGAGTAAAGTCCCTTGGGCCCTCCTGGCTCATTGAATGTAAATAGCAACTGCTTCTTTTTTGGCTAGCAACCCTGAGGGTCTTACTCTCCCAGTTTGATATTTTTTTTTTTGTTAAAGAGGCCTATTCACTGAATAAGCATTGCCTCACTCAAAGTGAGAACCTGAAAAGACCTTGGCTTAAGAAGGCCAAGGTCTCCCACTGCATCCTGTGCCATCTCCAGTCATCCTGATGGAAATCTGGCCACTAGACCCAAATGGCTCTGGAGGAGAAAGTGAGGCTGGTGACTTTGCACAGCTTTCTTCACTCAAACCCAATTCAATTGCAAGTCACGTCATCATCTCCCTGATGTCATGGTCCTCTTCGAGAACAAAGGACAAACCACACAACTTGTTGAATTTTCATTGTGCTATCCTCTCCACCAATAGAAAATTAGAAGAGAAATAGAATAGAGAATTGGGAGAGTTGGGGTATGTGGGGGGGAAGGGTAGATAATGAATTCAATTCTAAACATGTTGAGTTTAGATGTCTACATGACATCCAATTTGAGATGTCTGAGAGGCAGTTGGAGATGTGAGACTGGAGGTCCGCAGAGTGGTTAGGGCAGATTAGGTAGATTTGGGAATCATCAGTGTATAGATGATATTTAAATCGACAGGAACTGATAATATCAGCAAGTTATATAGTACAGAGGAAGAAGAGAAGAGAGCCCAAGACAGAGCCCTTCAGGACACCTATAATTAGAAAATATGATCTGAATGAGGATCCAGCAAGATTTTGAGAAGGAGCGTTTTTGAGGGGTTTTTTAAATGGAAGAGACAGGGGCCTGTTTGTAGACAGCAAGGAAGGAACCAATAGACAGAGAGAGACTGAAGATAGATGTTAGAGTAGGGATGACAGAGGGAAGAATTTGGTGGAAAATATGAGGTGAAATGGGATCACTTGTGCAGGTGTTGGGGTTGTCCTTAGTAAAGAGTAAGGTTACCTCTTCACGCGAGACAAGGGTGAAGAAGAAAATAGTGACGGAAGTCATCTGAGTGACATGAAATTAGGAAGGGGAAGAAGAGAGAGCTTATGGCAAATGGCCTCAATTTTTTTTCTGTAAAATATGAAGCATGGCAGCTGAGAGAATGGGAGGAGGAGGAGGAGCCACGGGAGGTTACTATTCATTGACCAAAATCTCTCTTGGTGCCTTAAACCAACAATCTTAACATAAAATGTCAGTAGAGTACATACTCTTGGAGTCATCAAAGAGAATGGTGTGTGATTTTTTTTCATCCTGTGAAATATATAATGAAATAATGTATACAATTTATAAATGAGTACAATTTGCATTTGTTCAACACATCTTAATTATTATACTTCTGTGCATATCATGTTACATGTCTTATCTTATTATTTGCTGTCATAATCTTATACCATATATACAAATCACAATTCCCATTAAAGAGACAAGAAATAGTGTTACACCTTAGTAACTCTGTACCTATAATGATAGTTGATATTTATATATAGTTTGATATTTATATAGTATTCCAGGGTTTACAAGCAATATACATGCATTGTCTCATTTGATTCTCAAGCCTGTGAGAAAGGTAATTTTATCCCCATTTTGCAGATGGAGAAACTGAGTTTCAGAAAGGTTAAGTGACTTTCTTAACATTCCCAAATTGTATGAACAAGGTGAGATTCAAAGTCAAGTCTTCCTGACTTCAAGTTCAGTACTCTATCCACTGCACCACAATACCTCAAATGGAAGCCCTTGGTGAATATTCTTGCCCAATTTTAACCAGATCTCAGCTTTTTCTTATTATGATACAATTTATAAATTAGGTGTTTTTTTTTTTTAAATGTCACTTTGTAACTAAGCATCTAATTTGGAGTCTACTCACTCTTTCGAGGGCCAGCTGGATAAGTACAACAGATGATTGATATGGAAGCTCCAAGCTTATTTCACAATAAATGTACAGTAAAATAGAATTAATTTAGACACCTTCCCCCTATTGCAGATTTGTTATAATTAAGTTGGGATTTGGCTAAGATTTACATTTTGCTTGCATTATTTTTAAAAGGTTGCTAAGCTAACTATTAGTGCCAAATGGTTGGGAGCCATGGCATTAGAACAAGTGGAGGGAAAGGCCTGTTCTGAAAGCTGGTCTCAGAGAGTGGGAAAGGCCAGATAGTACAATATTCAGGCAACACATCACAACTGAGAATTTGTTAGCATATCAAGATAAAGCATATATGGATGCTCATGAACTCAAAGGGTCAGATTCCAGGCTGTTTACCAAAACCAAAGGGAAAGTTTTCTGAAGTACATATAAGAGGATGCACTCCAAATGCTACACATAACACATTCAAATCACCTACTTTTTAAAATTTGGGACAGGAAACATAAAACTTTGATCAAAAATGCAAATAAAACGATTTCAGTTTTCTCCTAAAACTGAGAAAAGAAAGAGGGAGAAAGGGAGATAGTGAAAAAGGAAAAGACAGAGGATAGAAAAGAAATTGATAACATAGAAGGTCAGAGAAGGAACAAGTAACAAAAGGGTAGAGAATGCCCCATCCACACAAACATTCCTGCCCTGAAAAGGTATCAGACTATCCACATATCTTTCTTTAAAGCAGGAATTGACAAACTATGGCATAAGGGCCAAATCCAGCTACCCATTTTTGTATGGTCAGCAAGCTCCTGGGCCATACAAAAAGAGGAAGCAGTCCACAGGTCATAGTGTGCTGACCTCTATTCTGAAGAAAGGAGTGAGAGTTTTGTCAGATGTTCAAAGTTAGCAACTTGAAAGGAGGTAATCAAGCAAGCAGGCTAACATCAAAAAGCTCACATCAGGTTGGTCTTAGTACAGGAAGTTCTAAGGAACAACAACTCCTCTTGATGAAGAAATTCCTTTCTTAAACCATTCAGGAAAATCTTGCTGTGGTTCCATGTTTTCTTGGTAGTCAACAGGGTCTTCTGTTTCATCAGGCATCGATTCATTTTCCTTTGTCTTGTAATATTTACTTATGGATAGCTCAACTCATTTAGATGTACAGAAGTCATATTTCCTTTTGTTATTAATAGCTTCCTTGTTGGTCTATCGGCCTGTGTTCAAGGTCTTTGAGTTTTCTTCCTGCTGAGAAAGAAAAAAAAAAAGATCTTGTCATTTCCCCCTCACATTCTCCTATTGCTCACTTTCTAACACTTACCCCTTCAATGGCAGTTGCAGGGTAGGGAAAGGGGATAAACCTCAAAACTATTTTAGCCTCCTCCCCACAATGGGAAAAGCACGGTTCACTAGTTTTGGTCCCTACACCCAGTGATTGCAGGTGGGATAGAACTGGCCATAGCTGGATCCCAGTCTCTTTCGCTTCAGGTCTGGCAGACCCAATTACACACTTGTGTCCTGCCCTAGTTTACTTTTGTTTCTCATTTCTCTCAGTACTATTGCAGCACAAAGCACTGTCATACTGCTGCTCCAGCCAGAGTAATTTTCTAGTTTTTAATTTTCTGAAGGAATGAGGTGTAATGAAGGGGCAGAGTTGAGTTTGATGCAAGCCCATAGATTGGCTTGTGCAACGCTGCCAAAGTGTGGTCCCCAGTAGGAAGGGGATTCTGAATGCAAGCATTAGAGATTAGGGATTAGGTTTATCTGCTGTTAATTAGTTAGGTTTCTGAAATTGCTTTATCTTGTATGAATAATTCCTATGGTGGAGAGGGTTGAGTGGTCATGAGGAAAGAGAAAGTGTCTAGTCCTCCATCTTATTGGGCACATGACCCAGAGGTCACTGCAGAAATTCTTCAGGCTAAAGATACATATATTGGGCAAAACATGTGAAACCTTCTGTTCTTAAAATATCAAAGTTAGCTTCCATAGCACTAGTTCTAAGAGAATTGGAAAGAAGGCTAGAGGGAAGGCAAAAGATATGGAGAAACAGAGACAGAGCTTCTGAGATTTATCAAAAATCAAAAACTCTCAGTGTCTTATATCTGAGTAAAGGGTCCCATCTTCCAGTTGGACTAGGGACTTTGCTGTGACATCCATGCCCTGTATGGGTGGAATGGGACCAAAATACAATATTTATCTGGCTTTGGGAGCCCCTAAGTCCTGAAGCTAGGTGGTTCAGTGGATAAAACATTGGACCTAGAGTCAGGAAGTCCTGAGTTCAAATATGACCTCAGACTCTTACTAGCTGTGTGACCCTGGATAAGCCATTTAACCTCTGTTTACCTTAATCCACTGGAGAAGGAAATGGCAAACCACTCCAGTATCTTTGCAAAGAAAAATGCATAGACAGTATTGGCATTCTATAGTCCACATGGTCATGAAGAGTTGGACATGACTGAATGACTGAATAACAACAAAGTTCTGCAATCATTGTCCTCTAAAGCAAATGTGAGACAGACATCTAGAGACAGGTACAGACTTAGTCCTATAGAAGAAGAGAAAAGGACTTCAGCTAAATGAAGAGAAGGAAAGAGTGAATATTATTTGGAGGGATTTGGATTGGTGAGGGAGGCCAAAAATTGAATTTGAAGAAGATCACATTTTTATGAATGACTTGAATTAAGACATAAATGGCACATGACATAAATCTAGGAGAGGAAAGCAACACATTCATTAACAAAATCAAGATTCAAAACTATTATGATGGGGACAGCTAGGTGGTGCAGTGGATAGAGCACTGACCCTGGATTCAGGAGGACCTGAGTTCAAATCCAGCCTCAGACACATAACACTTACTAGCTGTGTGACCTTGGGCAAGTCACTTAACCACATTGCCCAACCCCAAAAAAAATCTATTTTGACAACTTAGAACATTGAGATGAATCTAAGATGCAATTTAATAGGGATAATTATAAAGTCTTACACTTGGGTTCAAAATATTCATTCCAAGGGTTAGTTAGACAACAGCTTACCTGAAAAAGATCTGAGAGTCTTAGGAGACAGCAAGCCCAAGGAGTTAGTAATGTTATATGACAGCCCAATAAAACTACTTCAGTCCTGGACTCTGAAGACAGCAGCATAGCCTTTCAGAATAAAAAGATAATAGCCCTTCTGTATTTAATCTTTATCAGACCACATTGGAGTATGTGTTCACTTCTGGGCATCACCGTTTAAAAATCACATTCATAATCTTGAGAGTAAACAGAGGAAGGCAACCAAGATGATGAAGGGACTCAAGGTCATGTTATATATAAAGATCACTAAAAGGAAACGGAGATATTTAGCTTGAAGAAAAGAAGATTGGGGGGTTGAGGAGGCATAATGGCTGTATTTAAATATTCAAAGAACTGTGAAGTGGAAGAAGGATTAAACTATTTGGCTCCAGTCAGTTAGTCGATAAACATGTATTAAGCACCTACTATATGCCAGGTACTTTGCTGTGCTCTGAGGACAGAAAGTGGGGGGGGGGGTGAAATCAGTGCAGATATCAAGGAGATCACAATCTAATGAAGGAGACAACATACAAATAACAATATACAAACAACCTTTATACATGATAAATTGGAAATAATCAACAGAGGGAAGGCACTAAAATTAAGGGGGATTGGCTAAACATCTTGTAGAAGGTGGTATTTTAACTGGAACTCAAAGGAAGCCAGGTGTAGGAGACAAGAAGGGAAAGTATTCTGTGTGTGGACAGCCAATGAAAATGTCTGGAGTCAAGAAATGAAGTGTCCAGCTCAAGGAACAGCAAAGAAACCAGTGTCACTGGATCAAAGAGTACATGTGAGGAGGGCAGATATGAGAAGACTAGAAATAGGGAGAGGGGAAAGGGATGACCAAGGTAGAAGTTGCAAACAGAGATATTTAGGCTTGATATAAGTAAAGATTTCTGAACATTTAAAAATGTCCCAAAATGTAATGGACTGCCTTGAGACACAGTGGATTCCTCCATTATTAAAGTTCTACAAGCAGAGGCTGAGTGACCATTAATCAATTATATTATAGTGAAGAACGATTTTTATGTATGAGTTGAACTAAATGACTCTTGAGACCCCTTCCAATTCTAAAATTCTGTGAGAAGGGTGGGGTGAATAAGGACAATCATTTTTAAAAGGGAAGAGATCATTTATTCATTCAACACATATTTACTATTTCCTCTGCATTTATGCTAACATCCTAAACTACAAAAATGTTTCATAATGATGTGGAGCCCACCCTGGGCTCTCAAAGGCCATGCTCTTGCAGGTTATAACAAGTCAGAAAGAATCCTGTATGACCTAGTGACAGCCTGCATGTCTGTGATCAGAGGATGAGCCCAGTTGTGTGCAGAGAGATTCATCTCTAGGTGGGGCATGGGGAGATAGAAAGTGTTATGAAATGTAAAATAGATAATTTTCATTATACTAAATTAAAAGGCTTTTGCACAAACAAAACCAATGCAACCAAGATTAGAAGGAAAGTAGACAGCTGGGAAACAATCTTTACAGCAAGTGTCTCTGATATAGACCTCATTTCTCAAATATGTGGACAACTAAGTCAAATTTATTAGAATACAAGCCATTCCTCAACTGATAAATGGTCAAAGGATATGAACACGCAATTTTCAGATAAAGAAATCCAAGCTATCTATAGGCATATGAAGAAGTACTCTAAATCACTTTTTTTTTTTTGGCTAGGTAATGGGGTTAAGTGACTTGCCCAGGGTCACACAGCTAGTAAGTGTTATGTGTCTGAGGCCGGATTTGACTCTGGTCCTCCTGAATGCAGGGCCAGTGCTCTATCCACTACACCACCTAGCTGCCCTTCTAAATCACTTTTGATTGGAGAAATGCAAATTAAAAGAACTCTGAGGTATCACCTCATACCTATCAGATTGGCTAATATGACAAAAAAAGAAAATGATAAATGTTGGAGAGGATGTGGGAAAATTGGGGCACTAATGCACTGTTGGGAGAGTTGTGAACTGATCCAACCATTCCGGAGAGCAATTTGGAACTATGCCCAAAGAGCAACCAAACTATGCATGCCCTTAGATCCAACAATACCACTACTAGGTCTGTATGCCAAAGAGATCATAAAAAAGGGGAAAGGACCTACATGTGCAAAAATATTTATAGCAGCCCTTTTCATGGTAGCAAAATATTGGAAACTGAGGGGATGCTCATCAATTGGGGAATGGTTGAACAAGCTGTGGTATATGAATGTAATGGAATACTATTGTGCAATATTATGAACAGGCAGATTTCAGAAAAAAAAAACCTAGACCGGCTTGTACAAACTGATGCAAAGTGAAATGAGCAGAACCAGGGAAACATTATACATAGTATCAGCAACATTGTGTGATGATCAACTATGAATGACTCAGTTCTTCTTAGCAACACAACGATCCAAGACAAGTACAAAAGACTCACAAAGGAAAATGCTATACACATCCAGATAAAGAACTAATGGGCTCTGAATGCAGATTAAAGCATACCTTTTTCATTTACTTTATTCTTTTTCATGATTTTTTTTCTTTTGATCTGTTTCTTCCTTCCTTCTGTGCCTAATATTGAAATATGTTTTACATGATAGCACATGTATAACCTATAATAAATTGCATACTATTTTCTGAAGAGGGGAGGAGAGGGAGGGAGAAAGAAAAATCTGGAACTCAAAATCTTGTAAAAATAAATGCTAAAAATTGTCTTGACATGTAAATGGGGAAAATACTATAAAGAAAAAGAAAAAGAAAACCTCAAAAGGGGTCACAAAGAATCAGACACAATTAAAAACAACTAAGCAAAACAAAAAAGTGTTGATTTGATTACCACTCCCACAGCAATAGAGATAAGGGGTGGGAAGGAGTATCCTGGGGGTGGTTGAAATCTACTGTATTGGCTTTAGCAACAGTATGATAAATAACTAGAAGATGGCCAGAGAGAAGAACAGTTAATCCCAGCGCAAGCTAGATGTAGAGGGTTTATATCAATCAGTATGACAGGCCCCAGGACTGAAGGTCCAAAGATAAATGACTTAGATTCTCCAGAATGTAGTCTCTAATGGTCATATTTGATGATGTAACAGACCACAGGGTGAAGGGCAAAAGGATGGCCAGAGAGATGACATATGCACAAATGTTATGTTGTTGTTCGTCCTTTATTTTTGAAGAGGACCAACATCACAAGTACTGTCTTGACTTCTAC